TCAATAACTGTTTAGCGAATAAACCCCTTTGTTACTAAAATTAGGACTTAATATATATTACAGCCATTTAATAATGGGCACGTGGGGGGAGGGATGGTCGACAAGTCCACATAGACCCCGGCTTCCAGCTGCAACAGCACACAGAGAGTGTTTACACTAGTGCTACCATGCTGGGAATTAAATATACATTACAAAGCATGAAAGCCCCTTATTTGCTACTGTTTAAGATAAATTTCAGTCTTGCTCTGACTGCGTAAGATTTCGCTATTGTAAACTTAGAAATTCGTTTCGGCCGAACCGTTTAAAAATTAAATTGGGGAAGGACGAATTTTGTCCATATGGCGGTTCAGCTCGGCAAAACTTTTTCTAATGAAAAAACTACTGGAAAAAAAAATCAGATGAATGAAAAGGGCAGAGAAACAGGTCAAGCAATGTACTGCAAAATATATATGCTTATTATCAATATTATACATATTATATTATTAAATATTATGTATATATTTTACAGTACACTGACATTTTATTACCATTTGGTTAAAAGATCAAGTGAGAAAAGAAAGTTACCAATAGTTGACAAAGCAGGAAAAACAGTGAACAAAATATATATTAAATATATGATATATAGGTGTATAAATATAGATGTTTTGTACAGCCCCTCCTTTTTCTCTTTATTGACCACTCCTCGGTTGATCTGTGAATAAAATCGACATTTAATGGCTGTGCTCTAACCAACAACCATCTATTTGTTCATCGATCATGGTTTTTTTGGTGCCATGGTCAGAATTCAGAGTCCCAAGACAGACAGATAGAGTCCCATCCAAGACAGACATGCTGCGCCATTGGGTATGTTGTTTGTTTTGTGATGTGGGTACGTTTAAGCACAGAAATTCAAACATTCATGATTTCGGACCAAATTCGGACCAACTACAGTTCAGAGCAAAACAAATTTCGAAGTCTAAAATACTTTAACAGAGCTTGAGTGTTTTTTGGTTTCCCTAATAATTTTACAGCTCTTTGTGCATTTTTAACATCATGTGGCACTCTGCAAAGCTGTGGTGCTAGGTATCAGATGCTGTATGTAGGGTCTGGCCGACCTACATTGTATGTCCCTCTCCTTTTGTTTTTTTTTTTTGTTTTTTTTTACAACAAATCCTATAACCGCTATCAAATCGGTTAATAAGTGAATTATACAGCGCTGATTCATATGTTGGTGCTTTCTAAATAATAATATTTGGAGTTCAACAACAGGGCAGAATCGTGTAATTTAGAAGCTCTGCAGATGTGTGGCTTTTTTAACATAACGGAAGTACAGAACAGACTCTGATCATCTGCAACACTCGACTCGCCCTCTGTATGTACTGGGCAAGAAAAGACGTAACAAGTGCACTTAAAAACACGTTGTTTTCCCTTTTCCTAATGTCGTTTTTTGCCAAATGGTGCTTTTATTTCATCACATTAGCATTTTGCTGTCCAAGTTCATGGCAGTGCCCCTGTAGAAATGAAATTGATTTTGTTACCTACTAAAACATAATATATCTAGTTATGTCATTCACAAACGCTGTAATGTGAAAATCCTTGGGCTCCCCAGGACGGCCGTAGAATCAGTGTGCCACATTAAGTTTATTGTAAGTGCAGTTAAATTGCAAAATACCTAGTGAAGCTGAAATATATATTTAAGAAATCCCTGCTGTCTTTTTCAGCGTACGCCAATGGCACTGATGCATGGAACACATTCAAATCTTGGCAAAAGATTTCGGAGAGAACTACTTTCCAATAACTAACAACTTGGAGCTAGACTCAAAATCCCAGAAAGACTTCAAGACTTCTCCTTCCAAGAGTCTTTGGTTTCTTGTGCTTTGAAAAAATTGTTTAAAAAATTATTAAAAGTTTACAAAAATGATAGCCCATTTTAAAAGAAAAATCTTATACACTGAGGTGAGGTAACCCGTAACCAGACCTACAGCAGCAAAATATTCTCACAAAAGAATTCCGATGTCCGTTTCCGTCAGGGAAACACAGGGGAACAAAGATTTACTTACATCTCTGAAGGTGGGTTGTAGAGAAAGAAATTCTAGCAAGCTACCTTGTTTAACCCAGGCATGTCTGGAATAAAGGAGTAAATGTCCCATCTTAAATGCAGGGTTTTTATTTACTAAGATGAGCAAAAATCAGCTTGAGAACTGAGCGGGGACCGACTGAAGGGCAGGCTATTTCAGCTGCTGCCCGTCCTCAGTATTCTCTTGCAACCCATTTTTGACTCTCTACAAGTTTAAAGGGACAATCCAGACGTGGACCCCTTGCTCACGGTGCCTAGGGAGATATCAGCTATGCCTCACTGATGATGCCTAACAAGGCTGAAACGATCGTCTGGGGTTGCTGTATCTCTCGTGCAGAGAGAACTTGCTGGCATTTCGGATCTGGACTGCCCGTATGGGTGGGACCAGTCTGATATGCTTCAGATATGTTCTCTCTGTAATGGCACAAGATGAGCAAAAATCAGCTTGAGAACTGAGCGGGGACCGACCGAAGGGCAGGCTATTTCAGCTGCTGCCCGTCCTCAGTATTCTCTTGCAACCCATTTTTGACTCTCTACAAGTTTAAAGGGATAATCCAGACGTGGACCCCTTGCTCACGGTGCCTAGGGAGATATCAGCTATGCCTCACTGATGATGCCTAACAAGGCTGAAACGATCGTCTGGGGTTGCTGTATCTCTCGTGCAGAGAGAACTTGCTGGCATTTCGGATCTGGACTGCCCGTATGGGTGGGACCAGTCTGATATGCTTCAGATATGTTCTCTCTGTAATGGCACAAGATGAGCAAAAATCAGCTTGAGAACTGAGCGGGGACCGACCGAAGGGCAGGCTATTTCAGCTGCTGCCCGTCCTCAGTATTCTCTTGCAACCCATTTTTGACTCTCTACAAGTTTAAAGGGACAATCCAGACGTGGACCCCTTGCTCACGGTGCCTAGGGAGATATCAGCTATGCCTCACTGATGATGCCTAACAAGGCTGAAAGGATCGTCTGGGGTTGCTGTATCTCTCGTGCAGAGAGAACTTGCTGGCATTTCGGATCTGGACTGCCCGTATGGGTGAGGACCAGTCTGATATGCTTCAGATATGTTCTCTCTGTAATGGCACAAGATGAGCAAAAATCAGCTTGAGAACTGAGCGGGGACCGACCGAAGGGCAGGCTATTTCAGCTGCTGCCCGTCCTCAGTATTCTCTTGCAACCCATTTTTGACTCTCTACAAGTTTAAAGGGACAATCCAGACATGGACCCATTGCTCACGGTGCCTAGGGAGATATCAGCTATGCCTCACTGATGATGCCTAACAAGGCTGAAACGATCGTCTGGGGTTGCTGTATCTCTCGTGCAGAGAGAACTTGCAGGCATTTCGGATCTGGACTGCCCGTATGGGTGGGACCAGTCTGATATGCTTCAGATATGTTCTCTCTGTAATGGCACAAGATGAGCAAAAATCAGCTTGAGAACTGAGCGGGGACCGACCGAAGGGCAGGCTATTTCAGCTGCTGCCCGTCCTCAGTATTCTCTTGCAACCCATTTTTGACTCTCTACAAGTTTAAAGGGACAATCCAGACGTGGACCCCTTGCTCACGGTGCCTAGGGAGATATCAGCTATGCCTCACTGATGATGCCTAACAAGGCTGAAACGATCGTCTGGGGTTGCTGTATCTCTCGTGCAGAGAGAACTTGCAGGCATTTCGGATCTGGACTGCCCGTATGGGTGGGACCAGTCTGATATGCTTCAGATATGTTCTCTCTGTAATGGCACAAGATGAGCAAAAATCAGCTTGAGAACTGAGCGGGGACCGACCGAAGGGCAGGCTATTTCAGCTGCTGCCCGTCCTCAGTATTCTCTTGCGACCCATTTTTGACTCTCTACAAGTTTAAAGGGACAATCCAGACGTGGACCCCTTGCTCACGGTGCCTAGGAGATATCAGCTATGCCTCACTGATGATGCCTAACAAGGCTGAAACGATCGTCTGGGGTTGCTATATCTCTCGTGCAGAGAGAACTTGCTGGCATTTCGGATCTGGACTGCCCGTATGGGTGGGACCAGTCTGATATGCTTCAGATATGTTCTCTGTAATGGCACAAGATGAGCAAAAATCAGCTTGAGAACTGAGCGGGGACCGACCGAAGGGCAGGCTATTTCAGCTGCTGCCCGTTCTCAGTATTCTCTTGCGACCCATTTTTGACTCTCTACAAGTTTAAAGGGATAATCCAGACGTGGACCCCTTGCTCACGGTGCCTAGGGAGATATCAGCTATGCCTCACTGATGATGCCTAACAAGGCTGAAACGATCGTCTGGGGTTGCTGTATCTCTCGTGCAGAGAGAACTTGCTGGCATTTCGGATCTGGACTGCCCGTGTGGGTGGGACCAGTCTGATATGCTTCAGATATGTTCTCTCTGTAATGGCACAAGATGAGCAAAAATCAGCTTGAGAACTGAGCGGGGACCGACCGAAGGGCAGGCTATTTCAGCTGCTGCCCGTTCTCAGTATTCTCTTGCGACCCATTTTTGACTCTCCACAAGTTTAAAGGGATAATCCAGACGTGGACCCCTTGCTCACGGTGCCTAGGGAGATATCAGCTATGCCTCACTGATGATGCCTAACAAGGCTGAAACGATCGTCTGGGGTTGCTGTATCTCTCGTGCAGAGAGAACTTGCTGGCATTTCGGATCTGGACTGCCCGTATGGGTGGGACCAGTCTGATATGCTTCAGATATGTTCTCTCTGTAATGGCACAAGATGAGCAAAAATCAGCTTGAGAACTGAGCGGGGACCGACCGAAGGGCAGGCTATTTCAGCTGCTGCCCGTCCTCAGTATTCTCTTGCAACCCATTTTTGACTCTCTACAAGTTTAAAGGGACAATCCAGACGTGGACCCCTTGCTCACGGTGCCTAGGGAGATATCAGCTATGCCTCACTGATGATGCCTAACAAGGCTGAAACGATCGTCTGGGGTTGCTGTATCTCTCGTGCAGAGAGAACTTGCTGGCATTTCGGATCTGGACTGCCCGTATGGGTGGGACCAGTCTGATATGCTTCAGATATGTTCTCTCTGTAATGGCACAAGATGAGCAAAAATCAGCTTGAGAACTGAGCGGGGACCGACCGAAGGGCAGGCTATTTCAGCTGCTGCCCGTCCTCAGTATTCTCTTGTGACCCATTTTTTGACTCTCCACAAGTTTAAAGGGATAATCCAGACGTGGACCCCTTGCTCACGGTGCCTAGGGAGATATCAGCTATGCCTCACTGATGATGCCTAACAAGGCTGAAAGGATCGTCTGGGGTTGCTGTATCTCTCGTGCAGAGAGAACTTGCTGGCATTTCGGATCTGGACTGCCCGTATGGGTGGGACCAGTCTGATATGCTTCAGATATGTTCTCTCTGTAATGGCACAAGATGAGCAAAAATCAGCTTGAGAACTGAGCGGGGACCGACCGAAGGGCAGGCTATTTCAGCTGCTGCCCGTCCTCAGTATTCTCTTGCAACCCATTTTTGACTTTTTATTTACTAAACAGTGCAAACCAAAATTGAACGATACAGCTGCTTTGGATCCACATTTTGGGTCTTGATTTAATACTGTAAGATTAACTTTTCAAGTTATTTAATATTTTTGGACAAACTTTTAAAATTATTTAACATCATGAAAAATATTTGAATTGTATAATATTTATATTTTTGTATATATATATATATATATTGATGATATTTATATATATGGTAAATTATTTTTAAATTCAAATATTTTGAAAAAAACTATTTTAAAAGTTTATTCAAAAATATAAAATCATTTGGAAAAACTTACTGAATAACGTTAAAGGGACACTCCAGTGCCAGGAAAACAAGCTGTTTTCCTGGCACTGCAGGTTCCCTCTCCCTCCCACCACCGATCCCATGTTGCTAAAGGGGTGAAAACCCCTTCAGTGACTTATCTGAGACCCCCTGCCGATGTCCCTCGGCGGTGGTTTCGGGGCCCAATTTTTCTATTTTCTTCTGTTCATTAACTCGTAAGGAGTCCTCCCTCACCTGTCCCTGTTTTCACCCTTTCAAATTGTATTCCAATTTTATATTCTAATCCTGTATTCTAGTCCTGTATTCCAATCCTATATTCTAATCCTGTATTCCATTCCTGTATTCCAATCTTACATTCTAATCCTGTATTCCATGCCATTCTTGCTATTTCTCATGTACCTCCCAATCTTTTCCCCTTGTTCTTTACCCGCCTATCCTTTGTTTTGTGCACTGTGTTCTTACCATCCTCACTTTTATTAGCATATTCTCCCACTTAACCCCCTGTCAACAACACCCTAATCTTTTTGTCTCCTTCAATAACAAACACCCTGCTATCGATAATCTACCCTGATATCTCACCTCCTATCTGTGGTTCCAGCTCATCACAACCTGGTCCGGTGCTTTGGCTCCAGAGGACGTGGTGGATTATGGTACAGCATTGTGCGCACAGCAGATCACATTGTCCCATGCTGGCCTGGTTAACGGGAGAGCATTAGGTCGATCTAGGGAAATCTTTTGATGAGACATAAGGAAACATTTCCAGTAAACCTTCAGTTTCCTGGAGGGATTGACCCCACATTTCCTGAGCTGTGAACTGTCTAAGAGAAATTAAATGTGTATTGTATATTTAAAGGGACACTCCATTCCCCAAATAATACAAATAAATAAATAAATAGCACTGATTAGTAGATATACTCCCAGTGAAACTATGCATACATGTAAATATATCGAAAAACAGCTGACAGAAACTGCAGTTTTCTTATCTGCAGCCTTTGAAAGCCTTCTCCTTCTAACCCACGCCAGACTTTCTGTGGCTGTCCAATCACAGACTTCCCAATGCAGCTCAATGAGAAGTCTTTGCAAGGCAGGTGTTCTGGGCACTTGCTGTCTGCTGAGTTTATCTCCACTAAGCTAACCGAACCAGGAAGTAACAGGACCCGGTTGTCTGATTGACAGCCATGAGGGTGTAATACGTTTAATTTCTAAAAGTGTCAATTTTTATTGAAATCTGCACTTTTTGAAATGCTTTAGGGGTCTGGAGTGTCCCTGTAAAGAGTGTGACTCCTTGCCAATTCTCCCAAGTTTCTATCGATGTCTAGAAATTCCAACAAAACGTGCTGTACAATCATTAGCCGAAGACAATCACCTGTTGCTCTTCATAGGGTATCCCTAATATGATTTATTAAATGTTACATTTTGAGTTAAGCAGACTCCCTCTTGTGCATTTCAGTTTGAGGACAGATTTTGGCTATACCTGTACAGAATCAACATGCTGGTAGGGTGTTGATTATCATTTCAAATTGCAGAAAAATCACTGACTCACCCTAGAGCCACATCTATACTGAGTGCTGGTAATTACCGGTAAATCTCACACAATTTTGGTAACTGATCATGAATTAGCAATAATGTAAACACTTTGCGCTACTCATTATATTTTTTGCCGCCATTGATATGTGGTTTAGTTCCATCATGGTAAATATCTAACGAAATAAAAGTGTTTCAACGCTGTCACAGTGCCCTAAATTTCACTTAACAGAATTTATCCTCATTACCAGCAGTATCCAACTGCAGGACGTATTGATAATGATGTTCTAAGTGACATTCTTACTGAGTTTAAGTGACAACCTTATGCTAGAGTGTGATTTGTAGCGCTGTCTAAACGGCAAGCCCCCAGGGGATCATCACACAAAATGCTCAGATACATTCCCAAAATAACTTGGAAGTGAGGTTGTATGCTTAGGGATTATATTCACTGCAACCTAAAAAAAGATCATTAGAAAGCACAAAATGAGAGGAAATAAGGCAAAACGATACCAGAATAATGTATTCTTGCTCACTAATATCCATTTGCTCTCTCTTATTACAGGGATATCTGTAAAGTCGTTTTGCTATACAACCTTCGCCAAAGCATGACCTTTTTTTAATATTCTAAATACAATTAATATTAAAGGGACATTCCAAACATCTAATTCACCTTAGCTTGCTGAGTGCATTCTGTGTAAAGAGTGTGCCTCTCTTTTTCAATTTGCAAAATGTGCACATTTCAGCAGAAATTGCCACTTTTATAAATTAACCTTGTTGCATCCCCGTAGCTGTCAATCAGAAAACTGGTCCAGTTACTTCCTGGTTTGGTTAGCCCAGTGGAGATAAACTCAAGAGGCAGCAATTGCCCAGAGAACCTGCCTTACAAAGACTTCTCATTGAGCTGCATAGTCTGTGATTGGACAGCCACAGAAAGCCTGGGCGGGGTTAGAATGAGAGGGCTTGCAAAGGCTGCAGATAAGAGATCTGCGGCTTCTGCAAGCATTTTTCCCAATACCTGCAATTAAACAATTACATTTAACCCCTTAAGACACATGATAGAAATATTCCATCATGATTCCCTTTTATTCCTGAAGTTGCATCTTTAGGGGTTAAAGTAATTATTCATTAAAGCACATGCCTCTGCAGTCTCACTGCTCATTTCTTTGCCATTTAGGAGTTAAATCACTCTGTTTTTACAGCCCTAGTCACACCTCTGTGCATGTGACTTACACAGCCTTCCTAAACACTTCCCGTAAAGAGTCATCTAATGTTTATACTTTTTTTATTGCACAGTTTGTTTCATTTATAATTTCTTATCTCCTGCTTTGTTTTTCTGGACCCTGCATTTAATTTAGAGAGAAGGAGATAAGTACTTCTAAAGTAAGTTAACATCTGACTGAAAATTAAACCATATTTACATGTAGGCTTTGTGAGTCACAGCCAAGGGGGATATAACTAGGGCTTAATAAACAGAAACAAACATTAATGAACTCCTAAATGAGAAGAGAATTGATCAGTGCGACCGCAGAAGCATGACCTATACACCGAATCTGCTTTATTAAGTAAAAGTTATTTTGGTGACTACAGTGTTACTTTACACTGCTTTCTCTTTCTTCTTATTTTCTACTTTTTGGTAAGTGTAATTAATAACAGTGTAAGAATAATGCCAAGTGCTGCATGTTCTGTATATACCGTATCAACGTTTTGTTAGGATTTAATGAAATATCATTGCTGATATATTAGTTTTGAAGGCATTTGCCCGCTAATTATAATAATCAGTTACATTAACACTCTATTTGGCAGTACCACTGCATCTTCTTTTATTAAAGCAAATGTGTCTACATGAGCAGTATCATTGCATCCACTTTCTTTGAGTACAATGTAGGAACCTGTCACAGTATATTTTATTCCTTTGCGCTTTTCATTGGAAGACATTCTAACTCAGAGCTCATTCGTGGGATTATCATGTGATGTTACTTGACATAGTCAATATGTCAACCAAGTGAGTTTACTTTTCTTTGGTTTGAGCAGGAGTGAGGCGGTTTTGCACGAAACCAACTGAAATTCCCATTGCCTTCCTTTGGTATCTCAGTCTACACAACGACGTGTTGATTGAGCGCTCAAATGATTTTACAGTATGAGACATTAGAACCACAAAACACAGGTAAAATTACAAAAACAACAAACCAGAAGATTCTGAGATGACCCACCCACCACAGGGCAAACTACAACACGATTTCACTACAGGACAAAATGAGATGGAACCATTTCAGTAAGAATCAGTGATCTGTTTAAATTGAAATAAAGAATGGCTTTTCATTGAGAATATAAGTGGAATTGACCATAAAACTGCAGGTCCTGGAACAAAATTACTATCAGTAAGAAAAAAAGGCCCAGAGAATGTTATACAAACCGATGAGGTCGACAGTTCATTCAGTGCTTTGATGGACTAGGCTTGGAAACATTGTATTTCGTGCTAATACTGTAAGCAAATAAGCAGAGGCTCCAGAGCTCACACACACACACACACACACACGGTCTGGAAAACCTTTAGAAAAGGGAGAACCATTTGTTATGTTTGTTTGTTTTCCAAAGTTTCTCCAGTGTATTCTGGGCTCTGAAACATTTTCTTCTTAACCTTGTAATTGTCAGATCATGCAGAAATGTACCATCATCATCAAACATAAATTACTATTCTACACCTCTCATACTTTAGCCACATATTTCTCAATCTTTGTTTTTTTTTGTTTGTTTTTTCATTTTGTACACAAAGGGTCTTTTTTCTTATAAAGGGCCATTGTTCCCTTTTTAAATTCAGGTCCAGCCCTGCCAGCCTTGTCACATGAACTTAGTGGGATGTCTTGGTGAGTAAGTAAGGCTAAAAAGTAGGTCCTTGACTGTTGCAGAATTCATATGATGTTTTGCCAGATTTAATTCTGAGAAAGAATCATGGGAGTTGTATCTCAGTAAGAGCTAAGGGTCTACCAGTTTGGTCAGCCCAAGGCTTGGGTGAACGAAGACAAAATACTGGTTTCCATTTTTGCAGGTCTATTCTCCTCAGTAACATTGATCATCAGAGAGTACCATC